GAAAAAAGGATATCTTTTCCCCCGTATCTTTGTCTCGCTTATCCTTCTTCGTACACAACGGAACGCAACATTGTGTTGGCATCTCTCAACTAACCTCCGAGTAGAAAATATTCTTGTCGGCCAAAGTTGTCCCCTACAGAGACTAAGGGAACCTTTTACCCAGTTATTTTTCAAAAGATAAAAATTTCAAATATCTTCGCGTAGTTTTTACAGCTAAGACACTCCAATATAATATAAATCTAAGTGCGCTTCAAGGTTCAGCTGGCCTACCAAGCCTTGCTTTCATGTTTTCAAAACCAGGCCGTTCCGCGCGGCCGCCATTTATGGATACGGTGTATGATGTGGATGAAGTAAAAGTGCTGTGCAGGCAGTTCCAGTTTGACAGAGATCACACATTTGTGAAGTGGTAAAACTTCAAGTACCTGATGCCATCATGGAAGGTACCCTCTGCTGTTCTCAGGGGGAAAGATGACCTCTCTCCAACTGAGTTCATTCTAAGAGAAGTTGTTAAAGAGCAGGTGGCTCACAGAATCAACTTCCCACAAATCATGGATGCTGGTCAGATTTGCCTTATCCAGCCCATGTCTAATGCAGTTGTGGAACAGGGTGCAAGTGCAGTGGATAGGGTAAAGACAAGGTTGAGAAGTCGACTCAAGAATGACATGATGGCCAGCCTGCTTTACATTTCTCTCAATGGCCCTAATCATAACACTGAAGAGTGCACAGAGATGGTTACAGAAGCAACCAAAGTCTGGAGAACAATGCACTTCAGAAATCTGCCATTACTTAAGAAGCTCCCAATGGTTGGAGGATCAGACCATGAAGGCAGTCTTCACCATCCAGCCACAAAGACTGACATTGGTATACAGGTGGAATTTCCAGATGACCTTCAGGCCTCTAGAACTGAAGCCCAAGAAGATGGTGAAGTATCTGTGGAAACTGAACTTGATGCTCAAGTTCAGGTTGTAGCTCAGGCAGTTGCCAGCAATGCTGATTTGTGTCATGATGCACTGGATGCCATGGATATGGGAGAGGTTGAATCTG